TATTGTATAAAAATGAAATGGATTTCTGTATATTGATTTTGTATCTTGTGATCTTACTGAATTCATTTATCAGTTCTAGCGGTTTTTTTGGTGGAGTCTTTAGGGTTTTCTATATATCGTATCATGTCATCAGCAAATAGTGAAAGTTTTACTCTTTCTGTAATCATTGTGAATTCCGTCTATTTCTTTTGTTGTCTGACTGCTGTGGCTAGGACTTCCAGTACTATGTTGAATAAAATGGTGAGAGTGGACATCCCTGTCTCGTTCCTGACCTTGGGAGAAAAGTTCTGTTTTGCCTCACTGAGTATGATGTTAGTTGTAGCTTCTTAACATATGGCTTTTATTATGTTGAGGTATATTCTGTCTAAGCCTACTTTGTTGAGAGTTTTTATCATGAATGGATGTGGTACTTTGTCAAATGCTTTTTCTGCATCTATTGAAATGATCATATGGTTTTTATCCTTTCTCTTGTTGTGATGTATCATGTTGTTTGATTTGCAAATATAGAACTACCCTTGCATCTCGGGAATAAATTCCACTTGATCATAGTGAATCATTTTTTAAATGGATTGTTGGATTCAGTTGCTAATATTTTGTTGAAAATTTTCGCATCTATGCTCATCAGAGATATTGGCCTGTAATTCTCTCTCTCTCTCTCTCTTTCTCTGTCTTTTTTTTTTTGCAGTGTCTTTATCTGGTTTTGGTATCAGGGCAAATTCATAGAATGAATTTGGAAGTGTTCCTTCCTCTTCTATTTTTTGGAATAGTTTGAGAAGAATAGACATTAACTTTTCTTTAAATGTTCAGTAGAATTCATCTGTGAAACCATCTGGTCCTGCACTTTTGTTTGTTGGGAGTTTTTTGGTTACTGATTCAATTTCATCATTAGTAATTGATCTGCTAAAATTTTCTATTTCTTTCTGATTCAGTTTTGGAAGGTTATGTGTTTCTAGAAATGTATCCATTTCTTCTAGTTTGTCCAATTTATTGGCATATAATTTTTCATAATGTTCTCTTATAATGCCTTGTATTTCTTTTTCATTTCTGATACTGTTAATTTGAGACCTTTTTTATTTTTTTCGTGGAGTCTGGCTAAAGCTTTACCAATTTTGTTGATCTTTTCAAAGTCCCAGCTCCTGGTTTCATTGATCTGTCCTATTGTTTTTTGTTTTGTTTTGCTTGTGTTGTTTTAGTTTCTGTTTCATTTATTTCTGCTGTAATCTTTATTATTTTATCTTACCTTTTTATGTAACTTTTTCCTGGGCTGTTATAAAGTCAGTGGCTGTGATGAATTTCATTCAATATTCATTCGACTGCTGTTTGTGGATTACTTACTGTGTGACATTATTTATTGAGCCCCTCTTGTGTGCAGGGCACCATGCAAAACTCATGTTCTTCACTATTAGGCTCTATTGTCCCCTACCTGAGCCAGTGTAGTTAGGTCCCAACCGGGAAGCCACACCAGCTCTTGCTTAGGTTGTGGGCATTACTGGATATTGCCTTTAATGGATTCCTAGGTTTGCTGCTGTGTGCTACCTTTTTAATTAACCAGAGAAGTCAACCACAAGAACACCATCACCGATTCCCTGCAGATTCCTTGGGCCCTTTGGTTTGCTCACCCGGAATCCCGAGTAACAAATGGGAGCAGGGACTCTGGAATCCATCATCACAGGTGAGGAGTTCGGATATCACACACCAGGAGCTCGGGTTGCATATTTAAATACTAACAAGGCTTGCTCTGCAAATAGATTGAAGGGATTCCAAACCCCCGAGTGCCTAACTTGTTTTTCAAAATCAGGTGTGACCCGCCAGCCTATTATGAGCTTTTCCTGGGGAACGCTTGCAGGAGGAATTGAACTAGGGGATAGATGTCAGGTTAATTTCCCCCTTGGTTCAGAGAGGAGAGTTGGTGCATGGGTCGGGGGCGGGCCAATGAAGTTAGTCTTTTTAGCCCCTAGAGGGTTGAAGGAGCTCTTTTCGAGAGGGCTGTTGAGTCCTGCGAGGCAGATTTCATCGCGTTGCAGCAGATAAATGCAAATCCAGACTATTTCTGTGGCCTGGCCCGCTACTCATCCTCATGACGCTCAGGACCAAATATTGGAATGGACAACAGGTACTCCTGAGCCTGCCGAGAGGCTCTGTGGCTGTACAAATGTGTGCTGAGGGGCATAACTGAACATTTGTACCAACATAAATTAGTGCTCATTCGTCTCTTTTGGTGCCCTTTCCATACCAGTTCCTCTGTATTCATCCACTCGTTAATTCATTCGGCAGGTTGTGTTGAACACCTCCCGTATGCCCACACAGCCAGTACAGTTGTGAGCAGCACCGTGCCTGGGGACTCTGTAGTCTGCTGGGGTAGAGCAGCTGCCCAAATAAATCCTTGGGATATTTCCTGAGCACCTGATAGATGGGGCTCGGCGGGGAGGGAGACGTAGAAAGCTCTTCAAGTTCTAATCTCGCCCCTCAAGTAGCTCGCAATCTGGTGTGAAAGTTAAGATATGCAACGATGCCCAAGGTGTAGTAAATACTCTTTCCTCACCTCCCTGTAATTCTTGATAGTTCATTTTGGCAAGAAGGTTTCCATCCCCCGGGTCTGTCATAGGGCCAATTGAGGACCAGGTGACTGAGAAGCTGCTTTTAAAATAAAGATTCCTGGGGTGCCTTGGTGGCTCAGTTGGTTGGGTGACTGATTTCAGCTCAGGTCACGAGCTCACGGTTTGTGAGTTCGAGCCCCACGTCGGGCTCTCTGGTGTCAACACAGAACCTGCTTGGGATTCTGTCTCTCCCTCTCTCTCTGCCCCTCTCCCACTGATGTTCTGTCACTCTCTCTCAAAGATAAACATTAAAATATTTTATAAAAAAAAACAAAATAAATATTTCTGTGACACACCGCAGGCTCTCATACCAGATAAAATCTATGGGAATAGGTCCTTCGGAGACCACGGGTAAAAATATGGAGGGGCATGCTGAACTTATGTGCATGAATGCATATATATGCCTGTGTGTGTGTGTGTGTGTGTGTGTATCTGTGTGTGTGTTTGCATGCGTGGCCACCGATAGGTGTGAGGAGTAGTCAGTAATACATTTGGCACCTTGCAATGTGGTGTGGCAACAAAGGTGGCTTTAGAGACCCAACACTGCCCAGTCCAGCAAGGGGAAGCTAGAGTCCCGGGGCAAGTCAGTGTTTAAGGCAGATGGACTTGGTAGGAAGTTCAGGGTAGACTGGATGACATATGATGGCAGGTATGGTAACAACTAAATGTATTTGGAATTCGTTGCATGCCAGGTGCTTTTGCATCATCGCCACCTTTGATCCTCCTAGTCTCCGATGCAGAATGTATAGTTGTTATCTCCATTTACACAAGAGGAAACCAAGGCACAGAGAGGTGAAGCACGTTGCTCTCAGTCACCCAGCTTGGAGATTGCAGAGCTGGGATCCTACTATGCTTCCAGTGCAAGCGAGAGAAAAGACTCAAGAGGCACACACCATAAATGTCAAAAACAAGCCAACCTGCCCTTTGGGGAGGACCGTCATCTCACTGGCAAGTGCCTCTCATGAGGGTGACCTTTGTCATGCTCTGGAACCCTAAGAGTGTGGTTGATAGAAACCTCTGGGAAGAGGTTCAGGCGATGTTCTCCTGCCTGGGGCTCTAGAATGGTTCTCAGGCAAGGTTAAGAGAGGTCCAAGAAATACCTCTGTGAGCCACCCAGACCTTCTGAGTTGTCGTTGGTCACCTCGGTGTTGTCAACCTGCCCAGTTAAAGAAGACTTGGAATTGCCCCAACCCTTGCTGCCTTTCCAGTGGCTGGGATGTCTGGCTCCATGTTTGGGCAGGATGCACTTGCATCGTCCTAGTAATGTCCTGTCCCGTATCAACTGCCTCTCAGGGTCTGTATTTGCTTCATTTTTGCTGCTCTGGTTGCTCGGTATAAGCAGAGGACAACTGTGGATTGCAGTTTTGTTCCCGATAGGAGGCGTGAAAAAGAAGGTTCCTTGAAGGAAATCGCAGTATTGGATCCAAATGCTGAGGAGGGCTTTTAGAAGTGAAAAACCTTGTTCCTCCTTGGATGGCCCGTGAGGCAGGCGGTGGCTGTGCCGTGTGGCCCCAGCAGCCCTGGCTTTTCAGGGCCGGCCTGGAACCACCATTTGTGGGTGGACCCGAGGCAGAGCCTTTGATGTATCTTTCCCACGAGAACCGCGAGGGTCTGGAGCCAGGTAGTTCCGACACTCCTAGCTGAGAATAGGTGCGGGGCAGGGAGCACGCAGGGCCAGAGTGACAAGCCAGTGATACTCCCACGGTGGAGAAAGTTAAGAGCGCTTTGCAATCACAGAAAAGCAGAGTGCTAATAAGGTAATTAGCACCTTTTCTCCGATTAGCCGCCAGGGAATTCTCGAAAGAGATGAAACAGAGCTGTGAAAAGATCGTGGGCAACTGAGAAGTGAGAGAAAGCAAATAGCCTGTACTCTGTGCATAAAGGAATCAATATGTGTTTTAAAAGTGGAGAATGGATCTCTCCCACTGCTGCCCCAGTGGCTTCCTTTCAGACCCTCACACTTGCCTCCCACCACAGGACCTTTGCACACGATGCTCTTTCTTCTTCTCTGTGCCTACATCATTCCTACTCCAGCCTCCCTTCCTCGGGGGTATCACTGACCATCTAGACTGTTCAGTTTCCTTCAGTGTGGGTTTTTCAAGCACCCTAAAGCTTTCCTTCAAATTATGAATGTCAGTACTGATTTTACATTCATGTGACTATTTGATTAATGGTTGTCTCTCCCTTTGAGACCGTAAGCTCTGTGGATACAGATTCCATGGCTGGTTTCTTTCTTTTTTTTTTTTTTTCCACCACGGACCCCACCCTTTGGCACAGTGCCTGGTACAGAGATGAACAAATAATGGAATTAATTAGCTAAAGACACACTTGAGTGATCTTTGAAGTTGGTGAAGCTGTTGCTATTTGTCATTCCCATGAAGAAACTGAGGCTCTGAGGTTCAGTGAGATCAAGTGACTTTCCCAAGACACGTACATGCCTTATAAACTGGCATTTGTACAGAACCCTTGAGAATCTGAGATTTTATTCCTCTTTGCTTTAAACACGGGCATCATGTTGCTTTTTGGCGAAAGTAGAAGTTTTAAACGTTTAGACGAAAACAAGCATACAACAACAGAAACAAAAACGAAAGACAGATGACAATGGATTCTGTTCAAGCTCCATACTCCAGGATCAGCTACACGTGAAGAAGGTCTGCCTGTTGCCTTTAACTGGCCTGGTACAAACCTTGGTGTTTTGGCCAGCAGCTCAGAGGGGCTGGTTCCAGCCCCGGGAATAGTTTTGCATCTTAACCACCACTTTGAGCCAGAAAACCTTCTGAGGATGATGCAACAACTTTCAGGAACGACGTGGAAACGGTGGTAGGAACCAACACCCAGTGGCTGCCCGAGATTCGTGAGCATGATGCATAAGGTGCCGGAACTTTCTGCCCAAAGGCCATGCAGCCTGCTAGGCTTCCTGGCATAGGGAAGTTGGAGGTGGGGAGGGAACCTGAGTTAAGTGTCTTCCTTGGTGCTGTGTGACTTGAGAACCTAATTCACGTTGACCCACCCCGGGCAAGACTCCTCGCCTCATTCAAAACAAACCAGTCAACCAAAACAAAAGCAAAAATTGAATCAGACCCCTCTGTGTGCTGGGGATACAGTGATTAGTAAGACGAAGTAGAACAGATGAAATAAAACATCACACGTGGTGCCTGCCTGTCTGCAGTCAGTGTAAGTTCCAGTGGGGGACAGACGCTCACACACACACTCACACATACTCACACACACTCACACACTCAGTCTCATGCACTCACTCAAAATAGCCTATAAATAAATGTCAGTTAACAGCCACATGACGTGCTATGAAAATACAAGAAAGAGCCTTAGGAGGGAGGACGTTGACCTAAACAAGGAGGTCTGGAAGAGCATCTCTTAACAAGTGAGAATTTGGCAATGAAATAAAGGCTGAGTGAAAATGAGAAGGTGCCACCTGAAAGTGGGTTCGTCTCTTGGCAGAAGTGGGGCCAAAAGACACAACCAAGCCAGACCCTGGGATCAGGAAGTGGTTTGCGTGCAACAAATAGGGAGTCTACTGGGGATTTTTCCCCAAACGGTGCCCTCCCCACCCCGAACAACAAAATTGGGCAAGTTTTAAGCTAAAGATGCATGCACATTCGTGACGGGCGTGGCAAGGGAAGTCTAGAATTGGGGCACAAGTCACCCAGTAAGTTGACAGAGTCCAGGTCCTGATGGATCAAAGTCCCACGGATCTGGAGGGTCGAAATCCTGGGGTCCTGGTGGATCAAAGTCCTGGGGGCCAGCAAGAATTGGCATCATCAGTTCTCTGGCTCCGTTTGGTCCATTGTTTGCCCAAAGAGGGTTAAATCCTGCAAAAAAAAAAAAAAAAAAAAAAGACTGCAAAATGTGTGTTGGGTCAATCTTTACTTTTGAAACAGCATCGCGAGTTTTATCACTGATTCATTGTCTCTGATATGGTTAGGGCATTTCCTGGCTTGGTAGTCCTGTTTGTTTTTACATTTTTCTGTTCCCTTAAAACCATTAATTCCTGAGGTCCATTTTTCTGCAATTGTAACATATCCCAGGAAGTTCCGCAAGAAATGTGCTCAGGCAAGTAGTGCCAGTCAGGCATCAATCACAAAATGTCTGGAGGTCTAAAACGATTTCTCTTATGTTAAGAAAACTGTGTCTCCTCTTTCTTTCTCCGGAAACCCCTGACCCTATCTGCTTACAGAGGGAGCTTTCCAAGGGAAATGGAACAGCATGAGCACGAGGGGATGAGGGGTCATCACTGTAGTGCGAGAGGAGAAAGCAAGGCAGCATGTGGTCTGGGACGAGCCTACAAGGTGACAAGACTCGGACCCTGCTGGCACCTACAGGCCACACTGTAGAGCATTTTGACAGTGAGTGGTCAGTGCTAGAGTGGAGGTAAACTCATGGGGCCAGGAGGGTGAAACTCTCTCCTGATTTAGGCAGTTGGCTGTAGGGATTTGAGTGTCCATAGGATCAACACCAAATCCTTCCCCCAGCCCAACCAGACAGCCTGCGGGATAAGGATCTCATGATCCCAGGTGAGGGAAACCACATCCCTCCCCACACTCCCGCATCGGAGTGTCGGGAAGGTAGTGTCCCTTAGAGGCAGAAGGCTCATTAAAACCCCAACTCTTTTTTCGTCCCTGTGGTATCTCTGCTTTTCTGATTCGTGGGCTGAAAGCTTCGCCTGGCCAGGGATGAGCAAAACAAAGACAGTTGGGCTCTAATATCAGAACCGTCCAAACTCAGTCTCACATGAGTTTCAGGAAAGGAGACGCCTTTGCGAGCTGTGAATGAGCCGAGTGTTGGATGGCCCCTCGGTGTTCTGTCTGTCTGTCCTGTTCAGATGAGGAGGTGCTGGCAGCCATCAAGGAGACAGCCCCAGCAAGGTGATGCGGTGTGTGCGAGCTGGAACAAGCCTCTGCCCCCGAGGACGTCTGAGAGGTGGTCCCCCTCTGCAGACCTTCCTCGTGCTCTTGGGAGCAGATCCCAGCTAGGTTGTCTGTTTGCCCTGTGAAGAAAGAGGGATGTCCAGAGCAAAGAGCTAAGGAAGGCCACTCCTTCAGCATCGAAGGTGTATTGCGAGCATACGTTTCGGAATTAAAGAGAATCATTAGGCGTCCTTCTGCATGGAGGGAGCTACTTTCGGACTTTTTCTGTGTTTCCTTGCATACGTTGCTTTGCCCAGCACAACAGGAAGGGTGTGGAGGACCTCGCGAACGGGAAGAGAGAACAAGGGGTGGGACAGCCGCCTGGCCCCCGTTTGAACCCCATGATCGAGAGGGCTTCTTCTGTCTGAGAATATCTTCGTGTTTGACAAGAAGCATGGTGCACGGTTCAGTTAGGAGGCGTGGGGGTTTCTTCTATGGTCTCCTTCCGTTCTTGTGTCTCCTTCCCTCCTGTGGGTCACTCTGAGGCCTGGCTTCTGTCCCCTCCACTCATGCTCCAGTGAGCCTCTCCCTGCCCCATGCAGCAGTACCTTCCAGTCTCTGTGCTCCCGGACCCTCGAGACACCTGTCACCCTCTCTCAAACTCATGAACCATGAGATCATGACCTGAGCTGAAATCAAGAGTCAGACACTTAACCGACTGAGCCACCCAGGGACCCCCCCCGCACCCCAGCCTCGGACCCTCTTGGCCCCCTGGCTCACTCCCTCACCGAGCCACCACTCTTTGCCTGGCATGATGCCAGGTGGCAGGGGTGCAACCATGAGGTAGGGAGCAAGGTGCATCACCTGTTCTCCATGTTTCTAAGTGACATTGCCATTCACCCAGCTGGCCTCCTCGAGTCCCCCTCTCCTCCACACCCCAGAACCCCCTGCCAGTCCCCTCAGTTGGTTGCCAAAGCCACTGGATGCCACCTGCTTAGGACCCCCGGACTCTCCTCTGCTTTGTCCCCGTCACCACTACCCAAGTTCAGGTGTCTCTCCCTGCCCTGAGATTGCTTCGGTGGCCTCTCCGCATGCTCTTTCTGTCTCTGTTATTTCGTCCTCAAGCCAGAGCTGTCCTTTCAGACAACAGAAATCTGGTCCCGTCACATCTCTGCATAAAATTCTATAAGGATTCTTCTCATCAACCCCAGAAAACCTTAGCTCCTTATCTTCTTTTTCTGCTCCCTTTCTGTGTCTCTCCTCCCCCACCCCTGCCTCCATATTTCTCTCACCTCCCTCCTTCCTTGTTTTCTTCTTCTCTCCTTCTTTATTTTTCTTCTTTCTCTCTCCTTCCCCCACTTTCTCCTTCGCTGACTCCCCCCCCCCCCGCCCATCTCCTTCCAGAAAGGATTTGAACATCTTCAACTCAGTGCCAAAATATTATCTACTAAGTTCCCTTATATGACAGACTCGACTACAAATACCTTGGATACCTCAACGAGCAAATGATCAGACAAGATATTCCTGACCTCATAGAGCTTATATTCTACCAGGGACAACCAGACAGGAAACAGTAAACATGGTAAGGAAGCCATAGGAGTTATATGGAACGTGAAGGTGTTAAGTGTTTGAAACCAGATCCTATGGTGCTCTACATCTGAGCCAGAAGCATGGGCCTCCCCTTCGGCCCACCTCCCCCTTTGCCCCCCAGCCTCATGCTTCCCCTAGTCCAGGCATTTTTGCTTACGTTTCTTTGGCCCCAAGCTGCTTGCTGTTCTCTGTGCACACCATATGCTTTATACTTCTGCAGTTTGCACACTGTCCCCTTTGCATGGACACTCTCTATGGGCCTCTCTGGCCTGTGCCCAGTTGCCTTCCATTTGGAAACAGCGAAGGGGTCACCTGCTCTGGACCCTTATGCCCCCTCTCTCTGGGTCAGGTGGACTCCCTCTTTCTGGATCCACCCCTGGTTCCCTGTTCATTCCCGGATCTTGGCTGTCAGCCCTTCTGGACTGTGGGCCCCCTGAGGATGGGCCAAGCTCTGCGGCTTTGTCACCGAGTGAGTCTAGGAGGCCAACGAGGTTCCCTCACCTATCTCTGGTCTTGATTTTCTCATGTATAAAGCGGGAAGAAAGCCATCCACGGGTTTCTCATGGTTGCCACAGGGTTGCAGCAAATACCGAATGCCTGAGGGTGACATGTTGGGGTGCTCCCTGCCTCAGAGACTCTGAAGAAGGGGTCCCTGCCATGCCCAACGACTCTGGAGACGACGAACCAGACTGAGCCTGCAGAGCTCCACAGCCGACCGGGTCCTGGCCCAACGCCAGCCCTGAGTGTGGCCGGAACTGGAGCCCCCGGGGCTGAGCAGGAACACAAATGGGCTGTCATCGATTGTGTTTTCTTCCTTTCAAACAGTCATTTGGAACCCTTTCCAGAGGCTGCACGTCAGTTTGAATCCACATTGAATTGACATTCAATTTTCCCTTTTATGCCAGTTCTTAGGAAAACACTCAAACCGTCAATTTTTCTGTTAAAACCTCTCTCTTCCCACTCCCTGTTTACCATTTCCTAATGCCTTTTGAGCGCGGGGTTCAATGTGATGGTGAACTCAGGTCACAATGAGTCCATCCTCTTTTTCTGAGTTCCAGCGGGTCCTGCTTCCTACTCGTTGGGGGAAACAAACGGGCGTAGCCTTTGGATGCGTGTGTGTGCACACAGAGCACAAGCGGACGCGTGAGAATGGAGTGTCGTCCTGTTCGAGGGGCCAGTGGCATCCATGTTTGGTCTCCTGGTCTTCAAGAGTATGAGAGATGAGCAAGCTTGATGCTCTTAAAATTCCTGGGTCTGTGTGTGTTACAGGAAGCTCCACGTGCTGTTAGCTTTGTGGGGGAAGTGATTAGCATGCAGAATGTTATGTCCTAGTGGAATGGGGCCAATGAGAGGTGGCTAAATCTCTTGGTGTTGGTCTGGGGCTCATTCTGCTATCTGGAAACATCCCTTTTAGAGGAAGAAGACAGTGAAGGATGATCTTGGGGCGGTATTTGAATATATGTAACAGGATCCCCTCCCACCCCACCCCCCCACCCGCCCCGTTTAACCTAGCAAGAAGGTTAAAATTCATAAAGAGGAGGGGTGCCATTGCTCGGTGGTGGGGAGCGAATGCTTTGGGATCGAACAAGATCCAAATTAATGCCCTCGGACGTGAACACTGTCTCCTGCATGTGTTTGTACCAATGGTTAAATGAGACGCCGTGGGGAAGGCGAGCGCTCTGCAATCAACAATCTGGAGACAGCAGCCAGTGTGGGTCAGGCACGATGCTGACGGGCTGTGCGCAGGGCTCATCTCATCCAGGAGGCGGGTAGGTGGCGGTTGCTTTTCCTGTCTCTCGGCGGAGGAAACGGAGGCTTAACGCTGTTGAGTCAGTTTCTCAAGGCCACAGAGCTGCTATGTGGGAGAGCAGAGGTTTGAACTCAGCTCTGTCTCATCGCCAGATCAGTGTGCCTGCCACCACACCGACTCCCTTCCCGCGACTGCGGGGTCTGCGCTCTTGCAAAGCAGTTACAGCCCCCCTGTTACAGCGTGTGAAAGAATGGGAATGGCCATGCCTGCTCGGTGGCCCCGTCCAGAGAAGGTTGTTGTCATAGCCCACTAAGTTGTAGGCTCCGCAGGGTCAGGGGTGACTGATGACCGCAAGGCTGCTCAGGGACTTTGGGTCCCTGGGGAACAGAGAGGTGGGTGGCAGTGTGCTCTCTGAAAGGACCCCCCGCCCCCAGGAGCTTCTTCCTTCCACCTGGTCCAGCGCCTCAGGCCACCATGAGGTCCAAGGGCTCCCATTTACTCCAGGGAGGTCCATGAGGTCCAAAGGTCCCCCTTCACTCCAGGGAGGAACCTGGGAGAAGCCTCTCTAGCTTCAGCTTCAGGCTCTGCTTGCTTGCTTCATGGATTTTTTTTTTTTATTACAGTAAAACCCATATAACGTAAGGTTTACCGTGCAATCCTGTTAAAGCGTACAACTCGGTGGCATTAAGTACACGGCCCGTGTGATGCAACTACTGTCCTATTTCCGGAACTTTTTCATCGCCCCCAAAGGAAACCCAGGGCCCGTCGGCCACGTTTCTCATTTCTGTCTCCATCCCAGCCCCGGGCAGGCTCCGCGTCCCGCCTCTGCGGTTCGCCTGTTCCGGTCGCGTCGCGCACATGGCGTCACGCGTTTTGCGTCTGGCTTCCTGTGCCGAGGAGAGGTAGCGAGAGGGGCTCGGAAGTGAGGTGTGGACTGGGGAGGGGAGCGAGATGCCCTGTGCTCACGAGAGCCCTGAGCAGTGTGGACGTCGGGTCTGTTCCCTGGGTGTGGAGGGGCGGGGCCACCGTTCTGTCTGAACCTGTTGGAGTCCCGAGCTCAGGACAGCAAGTGGCAAGAGTGGAGACACCGAGGGATACGAGCCCAGCCTCCCCCGAAGTTGTGCACTTGTTTCCCGCATTCAGATTGTCAGAGCTCGGGCAGGAGAGGATTCCTGAGATCCGCCTCCGGCTCCTTCGACTTACGCCCGCGTTCGCGCCACACGCAGGCGGCCACACGTCCCCGGCTCCATCCGCGCCCCTAACTCAGCCGCTGCTTCTCTCACTCCTTCCTTCACTCTGTCATTCATTCATTCATGCCTCCGCTTACTCATACCTTCCGCTAACGCGCTCCGAGCTCCACCAGATACGCGGAGCCGGGCTGGGTGCTGTTGCTGCGGAGATGAATTAGCATGAATCTAGTTGCATGGAGACAGATACTTAAATAGACACTCGGAATACCTGCTGACGAGATCGACGGTAGAGGCCTGGACAGCATGTTCCGCGAGCGCCGTGGGGGGGGGGGGGGGGAGAGGACAAAAGAGGAGGCAGCCGCTCCACGTGCGGTGGGTGAGCTGGCTCGTTTGTCTGCACTCCGTGGTTCACGGGGCTCTTGCCTGTCGCCAAGTCCTGGGTACCCAGCACCCCTCCAGGTAACCAGAGTCCCACTAGGTCCATTTTACAGATGAAAACGTGGAGGTGTGGAGAGACTCGGCCACTGGCTCCAGCCTGCAGCTGGGCCAGAGAGCAGGAGAGAGGGTGGCTGTGCCCCGTGCAGTCCTTTGTTGCACGGCACACGGGCACGGACACCATATGGGTGGCGGCCACCACTCCCCTGGTTCCTGGGTGGCTCCAGCTCTCTCCCGGGAGTGGGGATAGTTCACCCTGGGGAAGCCCCTCTTCCTTGGCTTCCCCACGGTACGTTCTGACTCACGGGCCCCCACCGCCCCAAAGCCCTTTGTCAGGTGAGATACAGGGACTGACAGGCTGTGACACGTGGCTGTCTCAGCCGGGGAGGCTGGATGGAAAGAACCCTGTAGCACCACTCCTCCAAGCTCGGTCCGTGGACCGGCATCTTCATTGCCACCGTGTGCTGAATCTGAATCTGCATCTGCCGTGGAGCAAGATCCCCCAGGGATTCCTGGGCTCATTAAAATAAGTGAGGACCTCTCGATAAGCCTCAACTTCCTCACCTGTAAAATAGGAACCGAAGCACTTCTCCCGAAAGGTCACTTTGCAGATTAAATGGCTGCAAGGCTCTCTGCTTAGCTGGCGAGCCATCCTGGTTTGCCCAGCCCTGCGGGGCTTGGGGGTGCTAGGCTCTCAGCGTGAGCCCTGGACAGCTTGTCCACCTGCTGTCAGCTCGGTGCCCGGCACACAGTCAGAGCAGCTGCGGAGTCCTGTGTCCTTACTGGGACATTTAGGAAACACGTGGGGAGGAGCCACAGGAGGGCTCTTTGCGTTTGCATTAATGCTGCGCTGGCGGGTGGTAGTGCTGTGGGTTTCCTTGTCGCCAGCCCAGTTGATTCTTTCGCGAGGCCAACAACCCCCGTAATCCGAGCTCTCATGAATCAAGCTCTTAACGTGCGAGAGCCACACATGCATTATCTCAATCACAACAAGCTCCTTCAAGTAGGGAACAAATTCCCTTCACTTCACGAACGAGAAAATGGAGCCTCGCAGGTACCCCATATCTTGCCCAGGCCTCTGACGTGAGTAAGAGGAAGGGGCCAAGGCTGAGCCCTCTGTGCCTTCAGTCACGCCTACAGACAGACAGACCCCCAAAGGGAGAGGTAATTACCTCCCGAGGTTCAGCTCTCAGAGCTCTTCGTAGACATTTGTTAGAGAACCAGGGGCATTTTGAAGACATTTCTACTCTAATGTTTACGGCCGGGGCCCGCCCCTCACAAGGGTTGTGGGAAAGCCTGAAATTCTCCTTTTTCCACAAACAAACCTGCCTCCTTCAGTCCGGCAGTGGCCCTCTGAGTGTGACAGCCAGAGACAAAAGCTTAACAAACAGGACCTGTTTGTGTTTTCTCCTTGCCGCGACAGCGTAACGACGAGCGATTATTGTTGGTGGCAACTTGTCCTGTCTTTCGTCTGGGTCGTGGCAGCGGTGGCTGTCAGAGTCCCCGAGCGGGAGCCAGTCTGGGTGACATATTAAAGGAAAAACAGAAACGAAGTAAGGATGAAGGGCTCACGCAGGGAGGAGGGAGCTGTGTGGGGAGAGGCAGCTGATCCTGGGGAAAAAGTGCAGGTCAGAGACAGGAGGGGTGACAAGCAGAAGGACAGCGTGGTTTTGTGATCCAGGCTCAGAACGAACACCATCACTCCCCCACCTTTTTTCCTAGCCAACGTGATGTCAGGAATCATTGTTTGCCAGTGACAGAAAAGCTCGCTCAAACGGGCTTAAGCAAAATGAGGTGATTAATTGGGACATGCAGTGACCACGAGGGTGCGATGGCTTCAGGTGTGACCGGAACAAGATGCTCACCAAGCGCATCAGGACTTGGTAACTATCTTTCCGCTTCGCCTTTGGCGCTCAAGATGGTGCATGGTGGCCAATGGCTGCCAGAAATCCTGGCTGAGCCTCCTTCCAGGTTCAAGTTTAACAATAAGAGAAACTGTCTTTGCCTAGTCACTTTTCCCAGAAATCCCAAGAGCCACTCTGATTGGACCTGTTAGGACACATTCCTCCCCCTGAACTGATGGCTGGCACTGTGGGGTTTGGATGAGCCAGTGGGTTTGGCTGACGGCTCTCTGTGGAAATTCACTATTACCAGGAAGGGAAGAGAGGGGATGCTCGGTGGTTGGAGTAACAGGTGCCCGTCACGTGTCTCAGAGAGGCTTGGGCTTCTCTAAGAAAACAAACCTGAAAGAAACGGCTTCTGGTGCATAGAGCAAGGCCGGTAGCTCAGTCACGGTTGGGACTGGGAGAAAAAGAAAAAAGATGCCCCATACTTGGGTTTATCAGCAGCTCGGAGACCTGACTCCGTGCTCATTGGTCTCTGGTCAGGTAGAATCTCCCTGTGGCTGTCTATGTGAGAGTGGCTGGACCCAGCCTCAGACAATCCATCATCACGAACGACCCGGTTTAGGAGCCTTGAGTCAGACACTCACCCGCAGGTTGACAGAACACCGGGTGAAGCCAGTTTGGGCTTTTGCTGTGTCCTTGCACAGAAATAAGAGCCTCGGTCTCAGCAGGTGTCTCTTCTTGGCCAGGCTGCTAACGATCTAGAAAGCAGGGCTGGGTCCCAGAGCAGCAATCATCGTGTGGTTCTGAAGCACGTAGAGGGTGTTGGGCTGTCCCCAACTAGTTGCAATGGGACTCAAGGAATGCATCTCCCCATGCGTTTGTGTATTCTCTGTGTATTCTCTCCTCTGGCATCGCATCACTTGCTAGAGGAGGAGCCTGGGTCTGGATGACGGACTGGGACTGGGTCTGGAATGCCCAGGCAGACATGGGAGTTCTAGGCACACCATTGGACGTTAGGGTACCAGTGGACTCAACAGTAGATCGTTATGTGCAAACAGTTCTGTGCCTCACTGTACCACCCATGTAGGCTCCTCTCTTGGCACAGCTCAGAATTAAAAAGGAAAGAATTGGGCTGCCTCACATGAAACCCCCACACCCCCAGGTCATCTCCCAGCTTCCCTGCCAGAAGTTACTCCTTGGTGCATTTAGTAGATGAATTGTTTGGAGTGAGACTGACCTGGGAATTAAATCAGACCCCTTACCATGATCTTCAGGACATGTGCTGTGTGATACGGTCTCTGCCTTCTGCCCTCATTCATCTCTCACCTTTCTCTCTCTCTGCCTCGCTCATTAAACTATAGCTGTTTTGATCTTCCTTCTGTTCCCTGAACTTGCCAAACCCCTTCCTACCACATGCCGCTCCTTCTTCTCAGATGGCTTTCCTTACCCCGCCCTGGCCCTCAGCTTTGCCTGGCTGACTCCTGCTTCACACTCTTTTGATCGGCTCCAGCGCGGCGGACCGGCAGATCTAAAGTGGTGTTCCTCTCCACTCCTGAACTGTTACATCATTGGAGTTCCTTGAAGTTATTCTGTGTGTCGATGTCATTCTTTCTCTTCTGTCTGTTCCCTTGAGAATGCAGGGACCTTCACTTTTGGTAGCCTCTTTCCCTAGATTCACTCGCCTGGAACAACGCCTGGCACATAGCTGGAGTTTGTTAAATCCGTTGAATGGATGAAAAGCAATCAATAGATGAATGTTTCTGGAGCAGTGGGTTGCTCAAATGCATAAAGCACTAGTCTCTCTCTTTCTACCCACGGGCAACCTTGCAGATGCAGAATGATGCTTCCAGTTTTATCCCCAAAGTAGCGGCCCAGTGCCCTGAGGGTGTCAAGAGGGACTCGGAAGGACATTGTGCCCTGCCCTTAAAAATTCTAGTCTGAGGAGCCGGGCAAGATGTGTGCCTCCCAGTAACTAGGCAACCACCCACCAGTCAGGGCTGAGGAGTGACGTGTAAAGGCAGAGATGCTGGAAATTCACAAGTGGGAGTGCTAAGGACTCCATGATGGATGTGGGAGTCGTGGCTTGATGGTCAAGGCCGGCATCTTCACCACAGTCATGGCCAACTCAGCCTGAGCGAGCCCTTCCTCTATGCCAAGGGCTTTATGCACATCACCTCACAAAATATGTGCAGCAGCCCTTTGGGGTGGTGACCATTACCATCTTTTCCATTTCTTGGATGGGGAAACAGAGGCTTGGGTGAAGGAACTTTCTTGCATTAAGAAGCTGTTCCTGGGGTGCCTGGGTGGCTCAGTCAGTTGGGCGTCCGACTTCAGCTCAGGTCATGATCTTGCAGTTCATGAGTTCGAGCCCCGCGTCGGGCTCTGTGCTGACGGCTCAGAGCCTGGAGCCTGCTTCGGATTCTGTGTCTCCCTCTCTCTCTGCCCCTCCCCCACTCATGCTCTGGCTCTCTCTGGCTCTCAAAAATGAATAAATGTTAAAAAAAATTTAAAAAAAAAAAAAAAAAGCTGATCCTGGTCAGGCTGTCCGCAAAGCCCCTGTTCCTCCTACACACCCCCTGTTCCTTGTGGTTTCTCTGTGTAGAAAACATTTCCCCCTTGAGGGCATCATGACACAGTAAAGATGGCTCTGAATTAGGAGGTGAGAGACCCTGAGTCTGTTGCTGAGATCCCACTGATTTATGTGAAACTTGAAGCAAGTCATTAAGATTTTAAAGCCTGTTTCCTCCCCTAGAAGATAGAGGAAGTGGACCCAGAGGTACAAAGTCTTGCTGAACATAAGCATATTCTGGAGAAAATACATATTTTAGACAAAGATTCTGATCCAGTGGGGGTGGCCCGGAGCCCAGAGATCTGAAGGCCTGAGAAATTCCCCAAGGGAGCACAGCGACAAGGTTGGATACCAGACTGAGATTAGCGTCTTCAACCCTGCCTGCACATTACATTCACCCAGGGAGTTAAAAAGTCCCAGACCCTATCCCAGACCCTATCCCAGACCAAGTCAGTTGGCATCTTTAGGTGTGGGGCTGGTGGGGGTGGGAGAGCCCTAGCTTTGAGATGTGGCTCGTGTGCCTGAGAAGCCATAGTTAATTTTATTCAGTTCTTGTAAAGTAAGGCTGAATTCTCACCTGCAGCCAGGCTAGGAAGAGGTTGAAGACTTGGTCATTCTAGGAGGGTCCATTCCTTCCTCCATCCCCAACCATAGAGCTCATCTTAGAATTTATCTTATGTGTTCCTCATTTCCTGCAGCCCAGTGTGAGAGCCTAGAGCACAGACTCTGAGTTAAGATTGGAGTGTCTGTCCTGGTCTTCAACCCAGAGCCCAGCAGCCACCCTAGTTGGGAACCCACCAGTCACCAGACACTTGAGATTCAACTTCTCATTTGAAGAGAGAAGGAGAGAACAGAGAACGGTGGTGTTAGGTCATTTTAGAAGAATCATGGTGGATTGGCTTCTGGGAGGAGCAAAATGGGAGACAGAATGGACATGATGAAATGGTGCAATGAGCTCAGGTTGCTGATAGAGGAGTTCTTTGTTGGTGGGTGATGGGGCGAATGTGCTTTTGGGAAATGATAGCCAGAGGGAGGAAGGTTTCCTTTGGTTTTCCTTCTGAGCACGCATTCGTTATCTTCATTAGCTCACTCGATTCGTCTTGTCGCGTGCTTGTAGGGGACCTGACCTTACTCGGGGTACTCAGATGGAGGCTAAGCCCCAGACCTTGAGTCCAAACTGTGATGGGGCTGTGTGTGTTTTTATTTTATCCTGAAGGTTGTGAGAGCTGCTGAAAAAAATTTAAGCAGGAGGACATCATGCTCCAGTTTGAACTTTATAAAAAGTAACTAGAGCAGCAGTGTGGAAGGTGGGTGGGAGAGGGACAGGACTGGGATAGGGACTCCACACAGGAGGTTCTTGGTGTTGTTTGAGAGAGAACCACCGTGGGACTGGAACATGAGCATGTGTAATAGGGAGAGGAAAAAGAAATAAACCTGTGGGGTGATAAAGAAATAATGGATGCCTCTAGCTTGAATGGTGGTTACCTGTTGTACTAAATGTGGGAAGAGATCCCTCCTATCCTGAAAGGAAAAAAATGAGGGATAAAACACAAATCGTGAAACAGTTCTATGAGTAGAGGTTGCTTGGAATGAAATTTTGTGTTTGTGAATCATGAAGCTGATGTGTTTTGGGAAATGGTACCCGGGTATGGTTTCCTCTCTTAGCCCCAGTCTTCTGCACCACCTGATTGCCAGTTGATGGGAGATCATTGGCAATGGTTTTCCATTTCTGGGGCATTTTCTTTTCTAGTTGGATGCCTCAAAAATGATGAAGTGGTGGTTATTTACACCCCCCCCCACACACACACACTCTTCTGTTTCCTATTCTGCACACCTGAA